GTTTCTTTTTGCTACAGCATTCAGAATCACTTTTGAAATTTATAAAAACCTACCATTAATGTATAGATATCAACTTAAAAGGTAATAAGTTTAGTACATGTTACCAAAAAAACTCAATAATAAATTTTGAAAATAATACTAAATTAACACATTTAATCAAATGGGCAGGTGACAAGCATTCATTCCAAAACCAATTCTTTTTTGAGTTTTTAAACTCCAGACATTGTTTTAGAATATCAGTTCTGCAAGTTAATATGTTCGGTTGCTACATAAATACCCAATATTTCAATTGAGCCCCTAAAAATAAATTAATTAAAAACCATTCAGAATCACGTACAAAAGTTTCTTAATATATATACATATATATCAGTTCTTCATGTAACTATATCTAGGGATATAAATGGGACGAGACAGATCGTAAGTTACTCGAATTCGACTCGCTCAACACTCTAATCAAATGGACATTCGAGTTTTTAATGAGCCGAATTGAGCTAATTGATACAGGAGGTGAAGAACTACCTATCAACTCAAAAAAATAATATATTAAATTTTTTATCTTTTATATTAAATTATTGTTGTCTTTTAAAAAAGTGTAATACAAAATTTCATGTATGTAAGTTTAGATTCGAATGAGAATATTTAGAATTCAAGTTTTTCTTTTTAAATTCGAGTTGAACTTCAATTTTTGATTTCATGTTTGAGTTAAGCATGACAAATTTAAGCTCACGAGTTTTCGAGTGATCCAGTCGAACTCAGTCTCAGCTCAGCCATTCGAGCTCGACTTGTCTTCCAAACTATATCAAGTAAATTCGATTTCGGTATTCAACAGATACCCAATATTGCAATTGAAACTAAAAGAACAGTCAAAGGTAATTTACCTCCAGCGGCAGCCAAGACTTTACTTAACCTTTGAGGAGGGTCCCTAAAATTTTCATTATAAAACCTTCTAGCAGCCTTGGAAAGCTTGGGAGATGGCGCCGGCTGCTCGATACCGGCAGCACCAACAGCCGAAACCTCTTTTTTCTTCTTCACCTCCTTGGCGACCTTCTTTTTGGGCTTTTGAGTTTTAGCATCAGCAAGCGCGTTGATAAAACTTGCAGGGGGGTGGGCTTGGAGCTTGAGGTTACCGTCCTCGCCGCGGACGATCCAGGGGATGAAGAACTGGCCATTGGGAGGGGATTCGGAGTCGGCGTCGAGAACGGCGTCGGATTTGAGGTTGGGTGGGGGTCTGGGTTTGGGTTTGGGGGTTGGAGGAGCAAATTTTATGTTGAATTGTAAAGAAGAAGAGGTGATCGGAGGGAGGCGACGGAAAGGAGTGGAGGAAAGGGACGGCTTGGCGAGGCCGAGGAGAGATAGAGTGGCGGAGATGTGGTGGAGGGATGACAGTGCCGCCATTTTAACTTGCTCGCAACTGGCTATTGGCTAAGTTCACTGTGGATTTTATAATATATTTTATTTTGGATTTTTTTTTAATAATAAAAATAAGGTTTAAATATAAAATATGTGTTTGCGCTTTTCACTAATAGGTTAAACTAAATTTTGAATAATTATGGCGTAAAACGTTAGAAATTATCATTTTAGGTCGTTAAATAACACATGACACAATTTGATAATCTTAAAAATTTTATTTAAAATTATATTTTAAGATAGATAGAAAATTTTGAAATAACTGAAAACTTTTATTTCGACCCCTAAACCCACATAAGCCGTTGCCCTTTCGATGAAGTTCCACCCAATCTCACCCTCTCGAAGACCAAAATACTACAAAAATGTGATTGATTAACAGGGGATCGCGATTCTGACGTTCAAGTGACAATAACTACGTCGACTTATAATTAGGAAGATAAAAGGAATTACGTCGTCGACAATGGTCGAGATATAAAAGAGCAACGACTGAGGGTTAGGATGAGGATTTGAGAATTTTAGAGTTTTTGAGGTTTTTTTGTAATTTAAGAGAAATTAGGGTTTTTTATAAATAGAATAATATTTTTTAAATAAATTTTAAAATTATTTGATTGTGATACATGTCACTTAACAGAGAAAATTAACACATTTAACGGTGCAAGTACCTAAAGTGATAAAATTTGTAACGTTAGATATCGGGATTATTCAAAAAATAATTTAAATACATATTCGTGAAAACCGCTATAATTTAGGTACTTATTTTATATTTAAACCTAAAAGTAAATAAATTATGTAAGCATTAAGATTTTAGTTTCGAGATAATATTTTTTTATTAATTAAATTATTTAAACTTAATTTCATTCTTTCAAATCAGTATTTATTTGATTTAATTATTGGTATTATTGACTTGAAATTAAGGATGTTTATTGTTTGACCCGTTTTTGATCGGGTCTTATATTTTTATTTTTATTATTAAAATTTATTTATTATTATTATTATTATTATTATTATATATTTTTTCATTTTTTTTGTTTTTTTTGTTTATAGGTCCAACAAGATCCAACCCCCCACCATTATCTCAACAACAATAACCCACTACCCCACCTATCCATTCCATTACTCCCACATTTTCACCAACCGAGTGAAGCTCAACAAACTCCATAACAGATAACAGAGAATTCAGGAAATTTATAAACGATTGGGCACTAGGAAAGCAAGGTGTTAATAAGTCGAAAGGACCACTTGAAGCCCTCCGTCCCAAATTGCAGTCCACCCAATCACTTCATTTCGGCACACCGACACTGTGATCCGCACACCCCATCTCCCAACCTACAATCAAACTTCGCTTGCCCTAGCTTTTACACCTACGCTCCCGCTGTTGTTCTAATATATATATATATATCGATGAACCCTCTACAGTGAAAGAGTAAGATCGAAACGAGGGGCTCCAGTCCCACGCTACAGCTTGCTTCTCTTGATCTTCTTCAAGCTTTCGCTCCTATCATTTACAGCATCGGCGTCATTTTTCACGATCTTCGCTGCTGCTGATGAGGTGTTGTTCGTGATAAAATGATCATGAGCCTCGCGAATGTTGTTGATGAGAGCGTAGAACTTGTCCATATTTTCGTCATTCAATTCGTTGTCATCGTCATGTGACATCTTTTTCTTATTGCTGGGGGATGCAGAGATACAACGCTCCTGCGAGGAAGTTGGGATAACCAAGCGAGTGTTCTTCGTTTGGTTGAACAATAACCGGCACTGGAGAGATCCTGCATCCCAGCAAATTTCATTTGGCTCAAGAATGGGAGATGATTAATGATTTAAGAGCTTATATGGGCAGACTCCAGCAGGGCATGAGCCACATGCAGGAGATGTTGGAAGCCTGCATGGATATGCAGTTGGAATTGCAGTGATCCGTCAGACAAGTCTCTGCGGCTTTGAATCGCTCAGCTGGTGAAAAAGGTTCATAAATCCTTCCAACATTTCTTACGTGAAAAGCATTGTTTCATATTTTTTGTGGTCATTGTGATTATTTATGTGTACTTTAATTTGTAACAATTTGATCCTATTAATAATTTATCTTTTTTGCAATTGAACCACTCTAAATTCTTATTTTTTTTCTTGTAGCCCGTAATTAATGTCAATTAAACCTTTAATGTTTAGTTCCTTTCAATTTAATCCTTTAATTAGAATTTTCTTTTTTTTCTTTTAATTTTATTTTATTTCATTTTCATTATTAATTTATTAGCCCTTTTAATAATTTTTATTTTATTTTATTTCTTTTTTTAATTATTCTTACTGTTAACATAATTTTATTTATTTAGTTCTAATTTTTTAAACCTTTTTTTAACCTTTTTTCCTCATTTTATTTAATATTTATTTATTTTTATTCTTATAATCTAAGCATTCTTTTTGACTTTTTAGAGGAATTTCAACCAATAAAAAGTAAGTAATTTGAATCGAACGTTTTAAAATTCAATTTAAATTTTTTAATTTTCGCAATTAAAGACAATCGACAAATTAATTGGTACCGAAAGGGCAGTTCAATTGCGCTAATCCTTCCATGACCGTAACCGACTCTCGAACCCGACACGTTTCGGGTAAAACGCAGATCAGGTAAGATAGTGTCCGACCCACCTAAATTCGTTTTAAAATGGTCGGTGGCGACTCTAAATCAATCAATTCAAGTCGAAGCCCAATTTCGGGCCCAACCAGAAAAGCGGTCGCGACAATTATAGCTGAATTAATTGATCAAATTAAATTTAGTTTTGTTAATCGATTGTTTAATTAGATCTAGAGCGGTTAACAGTTAAAAAAACTTTAAATTTTTTTATTGATTAATTCGATTAAAATTGAACAACGAACACCCCTAATTTTGAGTAAGTAATAGATTAAGAAATTTTTCAAAATTCAATTATTAATTAATTTGATTAAAAAATTAACTAATTAATCAAAAATATTTAATATATTATATATTATATATATCACATGTATATTTTAAGCTTAAATCCATGAAGAATTAAGACTCAATTATTTTTTAACTATAATATATTAAACTTGCAAGACTATCAATTTTTTTAAATTATCCACTAGTATTCAATCTATTAACCGACTAATCCAGATCAGGTTTTGCAGAGGCTTATTATGGGGGCGACCCTCCCAACCCAATTTGCTCTATACACAAACATCAGGATTCGAACCTCTGACATTACTTAAATATTCAAATCTATTACATTGATTAATTTGAGCTTTGTAGAGTAATTTTTTTTTTCATTTTACTTAAGACCCTATCAAATTTTAACATAAATTTAAAAAAAAAGTACTCTGCTTAGCTCAAATTAATCTAAATAATTTTTTTATTAATTTGATCGCCAACTGAAATAACCAAACTTTGTATAATTTAATTGATATTTTTAGAAAAATATTCGGTTAACAATTAAAAGGAAAAAATTAACTAATTCAATTTTAACTAGTTCAATTCAAACGATAATCAAATTAATCGTTTGAAGACCCGTACATGCAAAGACTAAAATTTCAAGAATGTTGCAGTAAAAGAATTTACAGACTCAATATTACATTATCAAGCAATTCAAAGATCCCAAGTATATAGCTGTTTCTCTAACAACAAATCATCATCTTACAATAAACGCTGGCCATCCTTCATGCTAAATGTAATTTTATATATACCACAAACCCTAAACTTCATCAAACCCCATAATTATATAATCAGCAGCTGGCAACGGCCTTTTTGTTTAAATATGTGGAGAGTTGCAGATGAGCAAGGCAGCTACGAGTTCAAATTTCGCTGCTCTTTCGAATATTCTGCTGGTTAAATCTCCGGTAAAACGAGTTCCATCTGTCCATGTACGAGCTGTTTGAACAAAAAATTATATAGCATGGATTTCACAAAGAAACCGGGTCTTCCTTCACTTCAAGTCGTTGGAAAAGTTCCAAGATGCTTCCGGCTTTTCTCTTTGCTCTGTCGGTACCACTTTCCGACAAGTCCTTTAGTGCCTCCTCAGCACTGAGTTCCTTGGCTGTTTTTAATTGCTCTATATTACCGGTGCAAAGTGACCACAGTATGGCAGCGGCATTCTCTCGGTTACGTGGAGAACCGGTCCGTATGACTTCCAGTAAAACGGGAATAGGGTCAGCCTGACCGATGGCGACCTTCCCTTCTTGATGGCTCGCAAGAATGGCGAGAATTGCCAATGCTTCATCCACCATCCCACCTCCAGCATCCTTCAGTAGTCTCATCAATGGCGGCACGATACCAGCTCTAACAGCCCTAACCTTGTTTCCCTGAAAGATCGAGAGATTGAAAATGGCAGTTGCAGCATCTTTCTTTCCTCTCGGAGACCCTTCACAAAGAAGCTTTATAAGGGCGGGAATAGCACCGGCGGCACCGATAGCTACCTTGTACTCATCTATAACAGATAAACTGAAAAGGGTAGCGGCAGCATTTTCTCTAGCCTCCATGCTGCCATTTTTTAAGACATCAACTATATCGGGTATAGCTCCTGCATTAACGATGCCACCCTTGTTGCTGTCATTAATGGAAAGGTTGAGAAGAGCCGTCACGGCATGCTCCTGAGTTCGAGGATCTGTGGAGGACAATAATTCAACAAGAAGCGGTATGGATCCTGCCTCAGCGATACACACCCTATTATCTGCATTTCTTTTTGCCAATAACCTGAGTTCGCCGGCGGCTGCTCTTTGTTGTTCTGAATTTCCATTTGCCAGTTTTTCCAATAAAGCAACGATGGCAGTACGGTCGCAGTCTGAGGCACTGCTTCTACACGTTCCTTGGTTCTTAGGAAGCTCTATGCCGTTGCTCTCGCACCACAAAGCTATGAGACTTTTTAAAACATAGTTTGGCGTAAGGGCAGTGTGCGATAGTGTCTGCTGTGTTTTCGGACACGTCTTGTGCCCCGCATCTAACCATTTCTGAATACAAGATCTTTCATATGTCTGCAAAAGAAAGCAAAATAGTTCAGAATACTGGAGGTGACAAGATTAGAATATCCAAGTTTTATTTCTTAATAATAATAATAAAATTTACGGATGCATTTTCCCGACTAACCTGTCCAGTGGAGACAATTACAGGGTCTTTCATCAACTCCAAAGATATCGGGCACCGGAAATCATCCGGGATAACTGGTGACCTGTGTTTCATCAAGCCTTTTTCACCCTCGGAGGTGTCAGCTTCAGGGTTTTCAGTCAGAACATAATCTTTAAGCTTCTTGAGCAACGATGCCATCTCCTCGAAGCGCTTACCCGGATCTCCACCACTTGCAATAACCAGCTCGTGGAAAGCGACTGACTCTTTCGTTAGATCATTGATTGTCCTTAGATGAAACTTATCTGAAAGTCTTTTGAGAACTGCAGGGTCTGGATCTTTTTCTTTCTGCGCTACTGCTAAATCATGTTCTAGTTGCAAATCAGGTGAGTCCGGTCTCGCTTTTGCTCGTCTGAATTGTGTATGAACAAGTTCAATCTGATAAGAAAGAGAATACGTCAGACAAGTTAACGAAGTCCGAGTCTTCCCCTCTCTTTATTTGGCGAAGTTCAACAAGAAAAATACAAACAGGACATATAAGTTCATCCTAAATGTGCAGGGAACAATTCAAACAAAGGAAAGACAAGAACGAACAGTTCAATTTTCCGTAAAATTTTCATGGAAAAGTACCTGCTCCTGGACTTCCTCCGATATATCGAGATTATTGTAAGGAATCTCATTCAAAGCCGCTTCAATGGCTTCCGTTATTTCTTGGAACTTATATGCTATCTGGTCCATTTGAAGGGCCTGCAAAAAGTAATGCAGAACTCGTCTCAATGAATAATTACAACATAAATATAAAGGACGAAAAGACCCAACTTTTTTCTACTGATCTTGAAGGAAAAAGATGACAATACGACATGCAGAAACTCGGAGAATCCAACCTAACTTGTTTCTGGCCTTAATGAATTTGCCAATCGAGTAAAATGTGGACGATTTTCATTTCATTGAACTCCGTCGTAAAAATATTACAATCATACACAGCTCCTAACAAAGAGATAGTAGGTTTGTGATAACAATATGGAACTTCCATTGACAAACTCAAAAGCAAATCCCCGAAATCAATAGTGTCGAATAAAAACAATAACTCCGAAAACACTCGAAAGGCAGAAACTCATACGACAAAATCAACCAGATTTTCAATTTTAACAACGTTCCATGGACAACATACAAATCTCTATCGAGGACCTGATTCATCAATAGAACATATACAAAGCATCAGTGCCAATAACAAAAAGTTTAAACTACTCATTTTGAAATAAACTCAATATAAATATATGATGATAGAACTATATTTTGTAACTGATCTCTTAATCATGCCTGTACAACGTGCGAGATGGAATGACTCCGGAGAGGCGGATATAACAATATTTTAATTGAGTCATCGAATGAAATCATCTTAAGTTAGATAGTTCTTAGAAAAAAATGTGAAAAAGTTTCCATTCAAGATAAAAATTCATAGCATACAAACCTAAGTCAACAAGAATTTCTTTTTTCCAAACAGTCAGTTTTACATGATCCAGAAAGCCAGCTCTGTTTTTTCTCCCACCTAACACTAAATTTTCTCAGCAACCAAACAAAAATTTTGGACTTGTTTCCCGTCCTTCATCAAACATCACATGTCCCCAAAACATACCCAAAATGTACCCTTTTTCCTTCCATTCAATTTCGCAACAAACAAACAGAGAATCAACAAGGAAAAAATGAAAAAGAAAATTACCCGATACAACTTGCTTCCTCCATTAATAGATTGAAGAAGCTCTTTAGTAGAATCCAAAGCAGCCTTAAGTAGCTCAAACCCTTTGATCTCTTCAATTTTAATCATCGACTCCTCATTTCCGTCTCTCAACTCTTCAAACAAAGGGCTCAACAACTTGATTCTACGAACCAAATTCCCATGCATTTTTTTACACGAGTTTCTGGATTCTGGTAAACCAGATATCTCCTTCACTAACTCGGCTACTTGACTCAGCAATTGCCCCTTGGAATCACCTGTGAGTCCCATGATCATTCAAACACAACAACAACAACAACAAAAAGAATTCCAAAAAATTCTAAAATTAAAGAGTTTTGGTCTTTTGTGCAAAATAATAGGTACCCAGATTAGGGAATTCAGTTAAACGGAATGGGTAATTTTGGGATTTTTGAAAGGGAAGCTGGGAAATTTAAGCTAGTTGTTAGAACAAAGAAGGGAAATTTTGATTTTGGGGGGATTAATAATGAGGGAGAAATTAAAAGAATGTTATATTTTTAATAAATAAATAAATAATTGTGACAATGATTGATTTTAATTAATTAATTAATTAAGGGAATAATTAAATGTTGATTACTTGGTCTACTTTTTATTTGTTTGTTTATTTTTGTTAATTGTTGCCGAGGTGATTAGTGAGAAAATGATATGAGTTTGAACAAAGTTTTAATTATTTTTCTATTGAAGAATCTATCTTTTTAACATATATAAATTATTATATTGACCAATTTATTTCGGTGGTTAAAATATAGTTGTTGTTTTTAGAGGTCAAAAGTTCGAGCATCAACGGCTATAACAGAGTGATTGAGCGTTCATTGACGAATGGTTGAGAGTATTTAAAATAAATAAATACTATTGTGTAATCAATTTAGCTTAATAAAATAACATATATGAAATTATTTTTCATTTATTTGGTTAAATTTCCAAAAATAATTCACTTTTTACATATATATATATATATATATTCTATTTATTAGTTTTTAAAAATATATATTATTTCTTTTCAACTAATAATAATAATTAATTTTATTGAATAAAAAAAATAATATTGTAATAAAATTATACTATTCATTTAACTGAATTAAAAAAAATTAACTTACCAAGCATATTCATAAACATTCCAAAGGTATACTTGTAAATAAATAAATTATCATGGCAAGCAAGCAACTAAACCAATTTTAATATTTGAAGCAATGCGTACAAGTCAAATTTGTCATGTAGTACTTTCTCTCAAAATCTTAAAAGTTTGGGGAAATAGTGAAATTTGGTCAAAACATTGAAGGTATTCATAGGTATCCATATGATTTTTGCATTTGATTTTTCAGATGTTCTTAAAAATTTATATAGGTATCGATATTCAAGTTAAGGTATCAATACCAAATATCAATATCCATAAAATGGTATGAGTACTAAAATGAGATTCAAAATTTATAAATTAAAAATCAATTCAATTAAAATGAATATAAATTCTGGTACTAAAATGAGATTCAAAGTTTTAATCAATGTTATTAAAATCGGACCGGATCGGCCGGTTCGATCGGTCGAACCGTGAACCGGTGGTCTGTCCGGTCCGGTTAACTCCCAAAACCGGATTAGCACAAAATCGGTAAAGAATCGGAAGAACCGCTGAAAACTGGGAAAATTAGGGTGAATCGGCTGAAAACCGACAAAATCGATTTGAACTGCCGGTTCACTTTTTTTCTTTAAAAAAAATTAAACCAAACGACATCGTTTGTTCAACGAGCCGAGTCAAATTCGAGTATTGCTGAGCTCGACTCGAACTCGAAAACTTTAAAAGTAAGCTCAACTCGACTCAAAAACTCACAAGCTAAAAATTATCAACTCGAAATATAATATTAAAACTTGAAATCGAAAAGGCTCGAACTCAAAAAAAATTTAGAAGTTCGATTGAAGCCTAAAATTGGAGCTCAATTGAAGCCTAAAATTTGAGCTCACTTTGTGCTAATCAAAAGGCTCCATGATTTTGAATGTCAAATTACCTCTATTATTATAGTAAGTTGGAATGCTCTTCTATGTTTCTTAGCCATGTGGGATTGTTTTTTTTTAAAACAATTAAACCAAATGACATCATTTGTTATAATTTTTTAAGCCCCAATTTTTTTTTTATTATAGTTATATATTATTATTATTAATATGTTTTACCTTAAATATTATGTTGTAGTTGATTTGAATCATTTTATTTCACTTGATTTTATGGTTTTTCATTTATACATGTTATGACTTGTGATATTTTTATACATTTTAATATTGTAAACTTAAAAAAAGTGTTACATATATATTAATATTGCTTTGAATATTATGTAAAATTAAAAAAATATATATAAAATTCGGTTCAACTGCAGTTGAACCTAATTAAACCAGTGAACCAATACATTCACCGGTTCACTGTCGATTTTGAAAACATTGGTTTTAATCATTAGATAGTTCTTATAAAAAAATGTCAAAAATTATATTCAATTTTATAAACATTGATACTAGTGACGAGGTATAAGTACTAAAATGAGATTCAAAGTTTATCAAATTTAAAATCAATTCACTAATATCAACATCCGTGAAAAGGTATCAATACCATTTACCCAATTTACAAAAGTAGATATCATAAAAATCGAAAATCACCTTTTTTATTCTTTAATTTCAATCTATTTCATACTATATATTTTTTTTGTTTAACCATCAATATTTGATCTATTAATCGATTATTTTGAATCGGGTTTTACGGGAACTCATTATGGGGTGATCCTCTTAATCTTCTATTCATAAACTCCGAAATTTAAACTTCTGACATTGCTTAAGGAATCTAGATCTAGTGTTTCATCCCACTAGATGAACTAATTATTGATTCATACCATTTTTTAGTAACACTCCCGACATATTTTCTTCATCACCTTTTTTTTCAATAGATTTTTTTTGAGAAAATCGCCTTAGTGACCAAAAATGCCTTATAATATACGATTTTAACCAACTTTTTGGATTTGCCAAAATGACCAACAAAATCGCAACGCGAAATAAAAATCGCAACGCGATCCCCAGAATCACAAATCAGTTTCCAAAATCGCAACGCGATTCTTGAAAATCGCAATGTGATAGTACAAATTCGCATTGCGATTTTCCAGAATCGCAACGCGAATATGAAATCGCAACGCGAACACATAAATCGCAACGCGTATCCGTAAATCGCAACGTGTATCTGTAAATCGCAACGCGTATCCGTAAATCGCAATGCGTATCCGTATATCGCAACGCGTATCCGTAAATCGCAACGACAATACGTAAAATCGCAAACGCGTATCCGTAAATCGCAACGCGATTTTTAAAGCGCCATTATAATCGCTACGCGTATTTTATTTTCAAATTACAAAAACGAATATTAAGACAAAATCCCGTAATCGCAACTCATAACCTAAAACCTAAAATCACAACTCAGTCCCATCTCCATCTCTCACTCTCTACGGCGAAATCCGTCCCCATCTCCGAAGATTTCCGTCCCCATCTCCGGCGAAATCCCTCACAACCATTCACGGTCAGAAATCCCTCACAATATTCAGAAATGGAAAATCACCTCGAGGGTTAGTTTTTTTTAATTATTTTTATTTTGAAATTTTGCATTATTGTAGGTTTTTCATATTGAAACTGATGATAAGTTTACTGGTCATTTCAATAATAGATTAACCATTTCACTTAGATTTCATTTCGCGTTGCGATTCTCTCGTTGCGATTTTCATTTCGCGTTGCTATTCTCTCGTTGCGATTTTCAAGTTAGTATTTGTCTTTGTCTTTGTTCGTCTTTTGGTTGAAGTAATGCAATCCATTCAAGTTTCAATTTGCAGAAGAGTCGCAACGAGAAATGAAATCGCAACGTGAAAATGACTATCTGCAACGAGAAAAATGAAATCGCAACAAGAGAATCGCAACGCGAAACCAAAATCGCATTGCGATTTTCATTTCGCGTTGCGATTCTCTCGTTGCGATTTTCATTTCGCGTTGCGATTCTCTCGTTGCGATTTTTCATTACTCTCGTTGCGACAGTCATTCTCTCGTTGCGATTTTCATTTCACCAAAGACAAAACAGTGTTGGAAATTTTAGTTTCAAGAATAACTACTACTTTTAACCCCGGCAGAGGGAGATGTATTTTGCGGCTAACTTAACGCGCCACCACCGTCATGCTAACATTCGGAATGACCAACCAAATGCCGTAACATGGACGGCACACAATTTCTCTTCTGATTTGACAATTGGTTTAGGCCTAGGGATAGGCATGGATCCGAACTGATCGGGTCAGTTTTTCTTAAATCGGGTTCGAGTCGGGTCGATTTGAGTTTATGGTGAAAATATTTGATTCTAAAAAAATATAATTTTATCTTATATATTTAGGAATAATTACAATAATACCACTCTATATTATTTTTTCAATTAAATCATTATTTTTATTGAATAATTTTTTTTTATTATTTTGGATCGAATTCAGATTTTATCTCGAAAAATCGGGTCAGGTAGAGGGTAAATAATTTTTTGATCAGATCGAATAGGGTGAAGGATGTAAAATTTTGGATAACATCGGGTTGGCTTAAACCCGGCTTAAATACGACCCAAACCCGACCCTATTTAGTCCCCTCTAATCTTTGCCTTCACAACTTTTGATTTGCCTTCACAACTTTTGATTTGTCTTAACAAAATATCCACTTACACAGATAATTTTGTTATGCGACCGCCTAGACTAGAGTTTTTCTTGGCACATTACTTCAAGTAAATTATTTAGGGTATTGGGCCTATTTAAATATTATTTTGGAAAATATGATATCCTTTCCATTGCATTCTGAATTCGTCACGTTGATATAACGAGTTTCATCGAATAAAAATATTTAATGGTACATGTATTGTGGACCCTATATAGACCATTATTTTATTTGAAATTTAATGACTCGTCAAGTCAATGTGATGAATTTAATAAAAAAATAATATTTTTTGTAAAAAATTTAAAATAATATATATATATATATATATATATATAAATTTAAAAAAATAAGGAAACTTGTTACATTAACGTGACAAGTTCCTTTAAATTCAAAATTACTAGTCGTTTACTAGTCATTGGTCAATGTGCAGTCGGGCAACAGCAACAGCAACGACCACATAAAACTCGTCAGCTCGACGTGATGAGTTCCTTATGAAAATTTTAAAAATATATGTAATTAAAAGAAAAATGAATTTATTAATGTAATAAATAAATTTTTACTTGAAAATTATAACGCAAATTTATCTCTGTCTTAGAAGTTCTTGACGATGCCGAAAAGTTTTCGAATGATAATGTCGTGGGACTCGTCGAGTATGATGGGGTCGTAGGTCTTGGTTGTCGTCGTCTTGCCGATGAGGTGTACTTAACACCTCTGCAATGCACCTTCGAA